ACAAACTCCAGGTCCCGTCCGAAAGGGGAGGCACTATGCCACGCTCGCGCATGTGCCCAGCAAAGCTCTTGGGGTCGATGTTCCTTGTTTGCTGGACTCTTGCGGTGTCCTACGTGGCTCTTGGGTCCACTCAAAATGCAGCAAGCCTGAAAGCAGCAGCCCTGGACATAGATCGGCCAGCCCCATGCAAGCAAGACCTTGCAAGGACATGGAATGCCAAGAAAAAATGTCGGACAAGGGCAGAAGCCCCCAGCAGGCGCACTGACAGGAGTCTGCCTCACCCTCGCCACGCACTATGTAGGAGCCAGTGCCTGTGCCTCAGGATGTCATGTGCATGCAGCACTCAAGTCCTACTTAATTTTCCTCTTGCAGTGTGGGGGCTAACAGGGATGATGCCCAGCTGTCCGGCTTTGGCACTTGTCCTCGTAAACAGCGTGTGAGTCTCTGGGACGCCCGCTGAGCAAGAGACACTCTGAGCTCTCAACGCGCCCTTCCGAGTGATCCACAACTTTTCCTCCACCCACCTTGACTTGCACAGAAACATCTTGCGACCATGCCGTGTGGGAAGGCCTCTTGGTGGCAGGATCCAGGTACCTGCTGCATCACCCCCAAGCTGCTCAGAGCCCATACGCTTGCAGCACGCCTGCAGCTTTCGCACTCGTAATAGTTGTGGTGGATGTTGACCTGTGTGAAGCAATCTTGCGAATCTCTGAGCTGATGAGTCAGAAGCCCTGCCATCTGGTCCCACAGGGCATCACGGCGCCTCTCCTTCTTGACCACCTTCCAGCATCACTCGCTCAAGGCATACGCACAAATATGCACAAATGAGACCAGAGCCTCAGCGAAGGGTTCCATCATGAAGCGCCTGCGGCTGCAAGAAAAAGACCAGAGCCAGCACCCTCCCTACTCCACAAATCCCAGTTGCAGCCTGTTTTCCCAGGCATAAGCCTGTCAAAAGGTCATGTCAGTCAGGTACTGCTGACCTCACAACCGGCCATTGGCATTTTAGCATCAACACCTGGAGCTTCAAGGCCCGGACCTTCTGGAGACTCAATCCTGCTTTTGGGAATAAACTCATGGGTCAATGTGTGGCATCCTCCTTTACAGAAGTGACAACGACTCAAAAGATTGGGGCCTCAAGCCAGTGCTTCAGGACGGCCATCACACCTTGAGATGGGTCTTGACTGGTTTCCGGAAGAGTTCCCCCTTCTCCGGAAGAGTTCCCCTTTCTTACATTCAAAATTTGGTCAGCTCTGACGAGCTCCAGGATATACCCATATCGCAATTTATTACAGTTTCAAAAGCATGTCGGAAGTATGTTGCAGTTTGGGTCCGCATGAGTAAGAGCCACGCTGCTTCGCAACCAGCTTATCGTAGTGCCGTGCTGTCACCTGGACATACATGGACAATTCCTCGCGGGACGCTGGAATCTGCAAGCCAGAGCAGCTTTCAAAAACCAAAAATGTTCAGCTGCCGTGCTCTTGACATCGGAGCCCGAGACGTTGCCAATGTTGCGGGAACTGCTGTGTAGCATCATCCAAACGCGGACTTACAACCATCTCTCTACCAGATTTTCTTGAGACCGCAACATCCCCTCGGTGATGTTGCTGGCGTTCTCTGACCGCAGACACACGAAGAGCTACATTTCAACACTTTCAGAACTGAGAAGTCACAGCAACGACCATGACTGCGCTCCTACTATACTTAGTGCTGCTACTACTACGGCGACAACAACTACTGCTACGACTACGACTACGACGACTAC